TCAGTACTTGTATATTTATAATTGTTAGATATCTCGATAGATTGACTATCCATATATATCATTATATAGTGATGTCTCTCGTTACACTTTCAATGTAGTCTTTTTTTGTCTGAAAGGAATATAGTTCCCTTCACTCTCTTTCCATTTGTGTGGATCATCATTTTTTCAGTTCTTTCCTCCCAGCCTAATTAATACCTTGAAAGCTTCTCACCAGGGAGAGCCGAGCCTTCTCCCTCTAGATTGGAATGCTCACTGCTTATCTTCATGCTTATCACGTTGAGCCAGAAGTCCTGATCAGAGCAATAAGTCAAGAGTAAACCATAACGTGCATCTGAATTGGAAATGAAGATGTTAAAGTACCTTGGGTAGCGTATGACATTGTCTTTTAAATAGCAAATACTAAGAATCCACTAAAAGTGGTTGGAACTAATAAATGAATCCAGTTGAAGGATATACCGTTAACATACCAAATCAGTTGTTTCTCTCTACATTACAATGGACATCCCATTTTTAAATTCATAAAAAATGCTGAAGATAAAATGTTTAGGAAAAAATTAACCAAGAAGGTGAATGTTCTGTACATGGAAGGATTTTTGTTTTATAGTTTATAGTACATTGGTGAAAAAAACTGAAGTCTAAAATAAATGGAAAGATGTCCTGGATTCATGGATTGGAAGAATTAATATTGTTAAACTCTCCACACTACCCAGAGATCTGCAGAGTCAATAAAATCCCTATTAAATTTCTAATGGCATTTTCCAAAAAAGAGAAAAACAAATCCTTGAATTCATACAGAACCATAAAAAACTCCAAATAGTCAGAAGAATAACTTTGAGAATGTAGAACAGCATGGGAGGCATTACACTTCCGGATTTAAAACTGTATTGCAGAGTTTTCCTGTCGAAAAAGTTGGTACTAGAGTAAAAATAGATTCACATACCCTAGAAATACAACCATGTGTATATGGTCAACTGACCTGTGGCAAGCGGTGAAGAGTACACAGTTAATGGTGTTGGCAAAACCAGGTATCCCACATGAAAGAATATATATCTTACACCATGCACAAAAAGCAATCCAACACAGATTAAAGACTTAAATACAAGACCCACACCTATGAACTTTCTGAAAAGATACAGGAAGTCAGTTCTGTGACACTGGTCGTGGCAATGATTTTTTGGATATGACAACAAAACCAAACCACAGCCACAAAGGCAACAATAACTCGAACTGAGGAGGTTCTGCCCAACCAGGAGAACAATCAACTAAACGAAAGCCAACCATGGAATGGGAGAACATATTTGCAAACCACTTATCTAATAAGGATTAATATCCAAAATATATAAGGAACCCACACAATTCAATACCAAATAATAAATAACCTGATTAAAAAGGGGGTAAAGGATCTCAGTAGAGATTTTCTCAAAACAGAACTGTCATATGATCCAGAAATCCCACCTCTGAATACTTGAAGAAAATGGAATCAGTATCTTGAAGAGATACCTTTGTATTCCCATATCCAGGGCAGCATTATTTGCAGTAACTAAGATATAGAAATAATCTGTGCCCACTGACAGCTAAATAGATAAGAAAATAGTGGAATACATCTGCCATACACATGATAGAACATTACCCTTAAAAACAAAGGAGAGCCCTCCATTTTTGACAACATGAACTCAGAAAACATTATGGTAAATGACATAAATAAGATACAGAAAGACAAATATTGTATCATGTCACCTATGTGTGGATTCTAAAGTAAAACTCAGAAAAAATAGAGTAAAATAGTGGTTGTTGGGGGCTTAAGAGTGGCAGATATGGGGCGATACTGGTCAAAGGTCCAAACTTTCCATTATGAGTCAGTTCTAAAGATCTAATGTATAGCATGGTAATTATAGTTAATTACGTTTACTTGAAATTCGCCAAGAGAATAGCAAATTGGTCTCACCACAGTACAAAAAGATAATTATGTTAGGTTAGGGACTTGCTAATTAGCTTGAATGTGGAAACCACTGCTCACCTTACTTATATGGAAATGTCACATTATATATCTTAAATATATAGTGTTTTATTTGTCAATCATATTTCAATAAAGCTGGGAAAAATATAAAAATAAAATTATATTAAGCTTATCCCCCCAAATAAATCACAGTTTGGTTCCAGACTCCAGTGACCTCTCACAAAACTGCTGACTTCAGTTCTAGTTAGGACTCATAGAATTTTGCCAGATAAGAAGCCAAAGGAAAAGTCACAGCAGGGTCACCAAGATTAGTTACAGAAAACAGGGCAAGGACCCAGCATGCTGTCCTTCCACGTGATTTTCTCAGACTTCCCATTAAGCAGTGGAAAAAGCCTTTTACAAACGAAATTTTTCTGGAGAAAGGCAATCGGTAAAACACAAGGGCTGTGTGGCTGTGTCTGGAACAGGGGTGCATGGAGGGCCAGTACTTGGGTTCCTGCCAAACTCACCCCATCTCTCCCTGCTTCCTGAGGGTGTCTCTAATCTTTCCTATATGGGGAAAGGTCCACGTCTTTTTGTCCTATTTTATGCCCCCACTGTCAGAAATTGGCCTTCTCTTCCCTAATATCTACCCACTGAAGGCCCATCAAGAGAGACCCACGCAAACGCCACCTCCTCTGAGGAATCTCCCAGGGTGTAATTTATCTGTATCAGTCCTACTGCAGATGATCGTGTCATTTCATAAGCACCCCTCCTCTCCCTTGTTTTTCCATTATCCTTATTCTTAGTTTATCAGTGGCCTGCAATGTACAATGCAGTGTTGGGCAGTTATATTAATGATGCATTTAGTTATTAGACAAGCTCTTCAAGGCAGGTACATGGCTCTTAACATTTATGCTACTCTGCCACCCACAGTGCTTTGCAGGTTTCTCTGCATATGCTAGAAATGTTTATTTTGATCAGTAGTGAATAAATATGTGCTCAGTCACTTAGATGTAAAAGCATGGAAAAAGTATCCCAGAATATATATGGGCTGTGACTGTTTCACGCTTGCATGCTTCTGAAAAGAACTTTATACAAGTATTTAGTGCTATCCTAACTCACACTGGGAGTTGAGAGCAAAATGAATCTACTGGAAGTTTCATTTTCCTGGCAGTCTGAGGGTAAGGAGGCTTCAGATACTTCTCTGAGATGTTTGATGTGTGAATCACGCTGGGTCGCACAAGCACAGCCTGAGCCCAGTTCTGTGTCATTGAGACACACCTTTGGCTCCGCGTAGCACCTTGGGTTGGCACACTTTTGGGCTACTGTGGCCTGAACCCTATTACACTGGCTGGTCGTGGCCAGTGTTCCTAGATAGCTAGGAGTCCTCTTCCTTGGCCCTGCTCACGAGGAATGCAGTGGGAGCGGCTGATGAGATCTCTGCAGAGGACAGGATGAGGGGAGGAGCTGTGCAAGGGGACCGGAGAGAGGCCGTCACACTCCTTGCTACGAGCTAAACTCCGGGGTTGTGGGGCGTGCAGAGTGAGACGGGCGCTGTGAGGCGTCCAATGCCATGGCGCCCTGGTCTTTGAGACAATTTAGAAAACGGTTCTGAGGACCTGTGAGGTGGAAACTGTGCCAAGTGAGTGGAGGACGGAGAGGATGAAGATGTTTTCGCAGGTCAAGGTACACACAACCTAATATTAACGTTCACGATAAAGTGGAATAAACGACATGCTGCGACTGAACACTTTGAGGATGGATCTCTACCTGAAACCATATCTAAAGGCCCATTTTTTTTTTTTTTACTGTGGATTGAAATGTGGAGGTTTAACTTCAACCCTTTTCGAAGAAAATGCAAGAGGTGATTGATATATACAATATTTAAATATGAATTTATTAAACAGTGAAAGATGCACTGCCATGAAGCCCCCTCAGAATTCTCTCCCTTCAAACACAATTATCCCATGATTGTTGCTATTCTCTGAAGCAGTTCTGCAAGTCCTCTTTCATGAGCATCTTTGTGTCCAGTGATTTCTGCTGCCCAGTGCCATCCAGTGGAAAGGCAGTAAAAACACAACGCTGTGTCCTTGTCACCTTATTCATTGGATCTGGCGCTGTGTGACTTCTGACTCTTCCCCAGAGTCAAAGTGATCACGAAAGGGAAGTGTTTTGAATGGATTCAGGACTCCAGGGCAGTCTCAAGAGCACAGCTAAGACACTCATGAAAGAGGACTTCCGGAACCGCTTCAGGAAGCGGTGAGAACCCCGGGATGGGTGTTGACAGAGACAGGGATAATGGCAATGTGGTTGGTTTTTTTACTGTAATAAATTTCTATAAACATTCGCAGTACTTTACAACCACACTTTATATGACTTCATGAAAGAACTTCTTAAAGCACAAAAATTCAAACAGCACAGCATATTGTTACATAAAATATGTAACTCCACAAAATGTAAACATTTTAGGGACTGAACATAAGGCCTTGACTATGCTAGGCAAGCACTCTACCACTGGGCTGCACTCTTAGCCTGAAAGATATTTCAAAGAAAAAGTTTCCACAAACTCGGGGAAGATATTTATAACACACACGACTAACAAAAATTTAATATCCAGCAAGTAAAAACCAATAAAGGAAAGACTACAATAACAATAAAAACGTGGGCAACAGACATCTTTCTCTCTGTGCAAATCACAGAAGAAGAAAATTACTCAAACACAAAGAGATGTTCATTAGTAATCAGGAGAATTAAAACCGCAATGATAAACTATTTCATATCCACGAAGGTAACAGAAATTTAATATCAATTTTATATCAAATGTTGACAAGACCTAAAGCAATAGGGACTCATGTACTGCAACGTAAAAACACACATATTTGAAAAACAGTTTGAAATGTTTTCTGGCACAGTTTTGCAAGTTTGAAGTTGCTCAGACCCCAAAGAATTCTATTCCTACGAAAGCCCTTTACAGAAAATCTTTAACAGGATGTCTTTAACAGCAACATTTTTAATGGAGCCCGCCCACCACGGGAAAGTGATTTATATATTTTTCGCTTTGACATCTTTTATAATAATGATACAACCACAATGTGTTTGTTGTAAGAGCAGCACGGAAAGAGCTCTTCATCTGCATGGGGCTGGGCTGGGCAGCAGTGGGGAGGGACTGGCCAGGGCTTCCTGGTGCAGTTGCAACTGGTCCTCCGCGGGTGACAGGGACCCGGGACAGAGACGGACAGAGCAGAGGCTCCACTTGGGAAGAACAGGATGAGGAAAGACACGAAAACACGTGAAACACGACCGTGTGTCCTGGGAACAGCGATGGGTGAGGCATGAGTTGGGAGCGTAGTGTACAGAAAGGTGGGAACCATACCGGGCCAGATGAACTTGGGAGCGTATCTGGAATTCAGCCTGCAAGACAAGGCAGACTGTTGGATACTTCTGAGGAACCCAGGGCTTTCATCGCATCTGTGATTTAAGAATATAATTTTGGTAGCTGTATGAAGCATGAATGGGAGAAAGGAAAGGCAGATGGGATTTACCTGGAGCCTGGAACAGTTCAGAATAATGAAGACAAAGGTCTGCGTTGCGGCAGTGTGGATGGGATGAAAGGACAGGGTGCATAGTTTGGTGTCCCATTTCCTTTTCCTCAAGGTTTGTGCCTGTCCACTTCCGGAAGGACACAGACTGAAGCAAAGTGCATCTGTTCCCTCCTGGCGAGCCCCCGCTCCGCAGTTGAACAGTCGCTCAGCAGCTTGCCCCCAGCCCCTCTGATATGAGGAACACCTCCCAGTTTCCCCCAGCCCTCTCTTCCAGAGTTAGGAAGCCACATTTGAAAGCAACCTCTGCCTACACTCCATTAATCCTCCTCTTTGCTTACTTACATCTGCCCTTCATTTCCTTCTCTGGCTGCCAGTCTCCCAAGGTCATAAACATAAGCAGAGGGACACGAGCTGGTTGAGGAGGCCTTTTTTCTTCGGCAAGAGGATAACATTGCTGATACTGTCCTAAAGACTAGTGGTAGATTCATCACTGACATGGTACAAGAAGAACTGGTGGCTGGTTTGAAATGGAAAACGAGTGCCTTGGGCGTTCACCAGGAAGTTGACTGTTCAGGGTGGGCATCCAGAGCGAAACCAGTCCTTAGCACCCGTACCTCCCTGAGACATCGCCTGCCATGGGGATTGTGATGCAATGGGTCCCAATACAGAGACAAAGCACTCACTGAAAAGCATCTTGTCAAGTTGAGCTACGGAGGAGCAGGCACTGTCATGACTTTTTCCTCCTTGGGATGGAGGCAGCAAGGTCATTTCTGAGTTCAACATGGCAGGGAGGAGAAAGCAGCCATAGAGACAGGAGGTAACACGGTCTGAGGATGCTGATTGCTGATAAGGGTAAAACTCCTGGGTCAGCCCAGAGAAAAAACATGACCAGCCCGAGACTCACATGTAAGAATATAATGCCCAGGGTCACCTGTGGGGCTGCACATCACAGGGCGTCCTATGGAATCTAAGAAAGTGACCTCACAGAAGCGAAGTGTAGAAGAGTGGTCAGCAGAGGCGGGGGTGGTAGGGAAAGAGAGGGGTTGGCAAGCTGATGGCCAAAGGGCACATAATTATCATTGGAGAGAAGGAATAGATTCAAGAGCTGTACTTTCTAGCAAGATGATTGCAGTTCCTCATGACTCACTGCATTCTTGAAAACCTCAAGGAAAGTGGATGTACTTGCTCTCACCACACAGGTGGTAACGATGTGGAGGTGCATGTGTTAGTAGTGACGCTCACCCCTTCCACACTGTGCATATACCTCAAAGCAGCATCATGTACACGATACCTACATAGGATATTATCTGTTAATTTGACTGAAAAGTTTTAAAAAAAGAAGGCTGGAGCACTCAGCTCTCTGTATGTTCTGAACTGCTCTGCCATGCCAACCAAATCTGGTATGAATCCAGGATCAACATGCATTTCACACCGTCTTCTGATCTAAACCCACAAGTGGAGGTGAATTGGGCCAACGGAGTGACCGCAGAAGAGGGAGAGAGAAACAATGACAACGAATCTCAAGCAGGCAGCTAATTCACATGAACACCGCTCTGTAAAAAGGAAGAGGGAAGAAATTTTAACTGACTCACTGACAAAGACAAAGAAATAATGGTTTAGAATAAAAGAGAAAACAACACTCAGTCTTCCAATCATGGAAGAGGCAAGTAAAATGTGTTCTTCAGGGCACAGCGGTGTCTTGTAAACTCTTTCCTTCTTTTCCATAGGAGGAAAGGGATTGGATAATTAAAATGCAAGGACTTTCCTCACTTCTAACTGATTCAGTTGCGTGGATGTCTTTGCATGCCAAGATGCAGTCCTGACGCTGACCCTCAGATTCCTTACCAAGCCTTTAACTAATCCTCCTGGGAGGCTGCTTGTAAAATGGGTGAAGGCTGGGCATCCACTAGAAGAACAAACAGAGCGGGAGACGAGCCCTCTCTGCACATGATAACGAGCCCCTGAATAATCCACAGGGAGCTGTTGCCCAGCAGCGAACGGATGTCCACTCCTGTGGCTTCTCTAATCAACACACCTAGCTCCCTCACTCCCGGAAGCAACCATGCATCTCATTTCACGCAATGTTACTAGGTTAGGCCCCCCAAAGCACAAGGTACAGTAGTAATAGATCTCATCTTCGCAAGAGGTTTCGCTTCTCCTTAACAAAGGGCCCGGAGCAGAGCCCGAACAATAGAGCAAGAGTCTCTCACTGGCCGACTGTCTGAAGGATGAGCCAGAGATGGGCGCCAGCAGGCATCTGATCGACTCGGCTGCCCCCACACGGGAAGGTGCTCGTTCATGGCTGTCCGGGCTGAGTCCCAGCACCCAAGCTGACGAAACACCGTAATGCAGGGGTCCTCCCGTGATCCATCCGAGCTCATCGACTGCCTTATTCTCCCAGGCAGACTGCTTCAGGGCCCCCTTAAGTACTCTTCATCGCTCTTCTCTCTTGTTTGGTTGCATCAGCGGCCAAGCGCACTCATCTGCACTGCCCTGGTGGGCTGAGCTCTGCAGAATCCGCCGCCGCCGCTGAGCTCTGCTTGTCCCCGCCGCATCCTTCTCCCTGTGCCTTTCCTAATGGGCGCCTGTGCACCTGTCTTGTTATCTTTATTCTGTCATGTTTTGTACAACCCGAGCTCTTCACGTTATTTCAGGCTTGACCTTATTTTACTTTATTTTTATTCTTCCTCTGTCATCCATGCTGGTGACAAGAAGTTCATGTAAGAGGAAAACAAGTCGTGAAATGTCTCATAGTTTAAGACTAAAAATTGTTTTGAAGACACAGTGGGACTATTACATATACTATCTCACTGATACTGCAAAACCCATAACAATTAAATATATCATAAAAATGGTGGTGTGTTTAATGTAAGGCACTTTATTAAAAAACAAAAACTACAAACTAGCTGAATTTCCACATGTATTCTTGGTTGTTTTGTTCTGTTTGTTGTGGTGCTGGGGACTGAAGCAGGGCGAATATTAGACGAATGCTCTACACTGAGCGGTACCCTCCACCTTTCAAAAACCACAGTGGATATTTAAATTAAAAAAGAATTATTACAGTGAAAGACACATTGTTATGAATCCCCCTCCAAGCTCCCCCTCCACCTCAAACACACTGATCCCACTGTCCTGGTCACTTTCTGAAGCAGTTCTGCAGCCCTCTTTTGTGAGTGTCTTTAGTTGTGCTGTCAAAGCTGCCTCGGTACACTGAGTGGAGTCAAAACATTTACCCTTTCTAGTCATTTTGATTTTGGGAATGAGCCAGAAGTCACACAGTCCAGATCTGGTGGATGAGGTGGATGAGGACACACCCTCATGTTTTTATGCGACAGAAATTACAGTAAATGTTTCGATTAATGACACATGGTGGTCAAAATATATGGTGAATGTTTAAATTAAAAAATGATTGCAATAAAAAACACATTGCTACAAATCACTCTCACTTTAAAACTGCAAATGCACAGAATACAAATTTACAACAGATTTGTTTTTCTCAGTATGAACACTGTGAGACGTGTCAAACATTTTGAAAGGTCTGCGAGGCCTTTTGGACATCTCTGCGTTTGCCCCTTCTGAAAGTGTACCGGGCCCGCGAGAGCAGTTTCCATCGCTGGGAACCAGAACCCACTGGTATGGAAACAGCTTCTGTCCTCCCCCTACAGCCACTGTCCCCTCACTCTTGGATCTGTCTACAGCAAATGACAAAAACAAGGCGGCTGGACTTCTCATGATGCCTGTACTAAATGAAAGAAGTTTTCATTTAGCCTGCATAGCTGTGTTTTTTTAGTTAAAAACTTTCAAGTCCAGCCATCTTAAAAATACAGTTTGTCTTGAGAAATTCCATTTCCACAGGCCAGAAGGTGACCTGGGGCTCTAGAGGCGATGGCTCCCTTCTTTCACTTAACCTCCCTTGCCAGCTTCTGTGGTACGTGGATATGTGACACCTTCTGCCCCTTGTGAGACACAGCCGAGAAGGGCTGCTCTGGTGCTGACCGGGCAGAAGACGAGAAGTCATGTCCTCCTTTTCTCTGCCTAGGACCCGGGAGTGTGCAGGAACCTGGTGTCACCTGGGTCACCTGGTGACCATATCTGGGCCTTGCAGTTCTCAGGCAGGGCTGTAGCAGTGCTGAGCACTCAGTAGTGGCTTCGTGTGCAGGACCCACACAAGTGGGGACTGGCCTTGGAGAGGAAGGAAAGGAAGTGTGTGACACACAACCTCAGGGGGCACATGTGACCCTCTTTTGGGGCTCCTAGATGGGTGGCTTCCTGCCAGCTCCAAAACTGGAATTAGTTTTAGCTAGTATAACCTGGAATGTGCTCTGGGTTAGCTCCAAAATATTCCCCTAAAGTACCTTGGAGAGGTAAGGGTTGTGGGAGGTAATTGGATCATGGGGGCCTTATAATTACCAGCGGCTAACCTATTTATGAATTCATTGCTCATTGTGGTTAGGAGACTGGCTTGGTTGGAAGAGACAGGTCACTGGGGAGATTACGTGGAGCCAGTTGTCTTTGGACTGGACCCAGTGAAAGCTGGGAGCCAAATAAACCTTCCTTCTATAAGCTGTGGGTACCAGGTATTTTGTCACCACAATGGCTAACACAGAATGCTACTTAAACTTCTGTTTCTAGCAACATGGTGGCCTCCCTATGCTGAATAACCTTGCCACTGCTGACCAGGCAAGAGGTAAAGGACGCTCTGATGTCAAAAACAAGGTGAAAATAAGACTCTTGGCACACAAATGCCAAAGTTAGCTGAACCTAGAAAATACTAATTACTGGGAAAACCTCGAGTTTCCATTTTGATGGCTAGGCAACAATGACAGAAAGTCAAGCTTAAGGATAGCAGAGACCTGCAACACTCAGAACTCAAAAGACTGTTCAAAAGATGGCAAAAATAATTGTGAAAGACTGAGATAGAAAAGGTGGAACTAATACAACAGGAACAAAATAAAATGACAGAATTAAATAAAAATATTCATAAACAAAATTCATATAAAGTGCCTGAATGATCTTGGTGAAATACAGTGTTAGAAATACAAAATCCAGTTCATAGACCAGAGAAGCATATCAAATATAGAGACAGAAAAAGATTTAAAGCAAGAAGATGAAAGAGATGTACCAGAGAAAACCATTGTTCTTATGCTAATAATAGACAAAGCAGACCTGAAAGCAAAAAAGCATTGGCAGAGATATAATAGCTCACTTCATAATGATATGATTCAATTCACCTGGAAAATAACATAGATACCTTAGTATCAAGCAACATGGCTTCAAAGGATACAAAGTAAAAATTGATTGCTCTTCAAAGAAAAATTCACAGAGCCATTGGCAGGATAAAGATTTTTAAGAACATAGCTCAATATTTCATAGGTCAAATATATAAAACTTATTAAGAATGTAGAAGAGCTGAATAGTGCAATAACCAGGCTTTGCTCAGTGAACACACCACCCTCCACAGGTACAGAATGATGGTCTTCTCAAGTACACATGGGTTGTATACAAAAAGAGTGAATACATTAGGCCAAAGAACAATCTGCAACAAATCTGAAAGATCGAAACCCTATTGGGTATATTCTCTGAGGACAAGGGAATTGTACTAAAAATCAAGAGTATAAAACTAACCAGAAAATTCCATACATTTAGATACACCTTTTAAATAACTCACGGGGCAAAGAAAAAATCATAGAGGAAATTATAACATATTTAGCATTTAAAATAATGAACATGCTATGCTGCATATTAAACTGCAACCCTAAATTCATACATTGTTGTTTGAAATAAAGAATGCCTAAAGAATGTGAGCAAGCCTTGAAAAAAGCATATTGGAAATTAGAATGCATTTAGAATTTAAAATAATGATCACAATACATGATAAAATTACAGTCTAAAACTCATACATTATTAGTAGAATGCAGAAATCCAGAGAATTACTGCTCTAAGCATCCAACCAAGGAGCAAGAAAAAGGTCAGCATGATACACTCAGGAAAATTGGTGGAATTAGATGAAATGTTAAATATAAATAAACACAATGACTGATTTATAAGCTGGTTCTTTGTAAAATAAATGGACAAATCTCTGCCATGATTCATACTGAAAATATATAAAAAATAGTCAAATGAAAGAGGGACAGAAATATAAATGCTGCAGACAATAGAAATAGGAGACGCTATAAACACTTGGAATAGTGGAGTCTGTGCAGAGTATGTTCTTAGCCTGAAGAAGACCCTGGGTTCAGTCTTAGCACCACACCCACACTTAAAACACAAAAGAAA